TATTCATACCCTCATAATTTGTCGTGTGACTTTTTTGGTGTCTCCATTTTCACTTTAACAGGGGTAGTGTTAACCGATACGTTCTCAATATCATTAACCGAAGATTGCCATTTGAACACTTGATCTTTTTTAAAATCATGATAATCTCGCTGATATTTTTTCCCTTTTCTGTATTTTATTTCTTGATCCAATTTCTCCAGATCTTTATTTAATCTTTTTGTAAGTTCTGCCATTTCTGACGAATCTTTAAATGGCTCAATGGTATCTCTTATTTCTTTAATTTGTGATTCTAGATTCCTCATTTTCTTTTGTTTCCTTTTTATTAGGAATTGCCATTTAAAGATTCGTCAGAAATGGCAGAACTTACAAAAAGATTAAATAAAGATCTGGAGAAATTGGATCAGAAATAAAATACAGAAAAGGGAAAAAATATCAGCGGGATTATCATGATTTTAAAAAAGATCAAGTGTTCAAATGGCAATCTTCGGTTAATGATATTGAGAACGTATCGGTTAACACTACCCCTGTTAAAGTGAAAATGGAGACACCAAAAAAGTCCACGACAAATTATGAGGGTATGAATAGGAATTATAATAATTATACACCTAGGCATCCCACACCCCCAAAAATGGTTGGAGACCACCAAATAGAGGACCACCTTATAAGAAAACAAAGGGGGGGTGGTAAAGGGAAGGGATGGAAACCCTACCCATATAGGCCCAATCAACATCAAAGGAATGGACCCAATTATTATCCTAGGGAAGATTATTACAATAGACCAGATTATGCCTATAGAGATGACTATAGGACACAAGGCAATAGAACACCTAGGGATTATTATCAAGAAAGAGGGAACCCTTACCCGCCGAATAGAGGAAGGAGTCCCCTGCCCGTATATAATAAATATGAACCATTAAACTATGAGTATTCCGAGCAGGATTTTTTAGAGAGAAGGTGGAGGGAGAGGAGTTTAGAAATGGAGAGGAGAAGAAGCCCCCCAAGAGGAGAGGCTGCAGAGCTGGGAGGAAGAAGCAAAAGGAAAAGAGAAAATTAGGAGAGGGGGTTTTCAATTTGAGTGGGGTATCTCTTACTAGAGAGGAATTGCTGGTTTTAGACAAAGGTCTTAAATATGCCCCTCCCAAACCGGCATCAAAATTTGACGTGTATGTAGACATCCAGAAATTCATTAGGAGATTGAACATCAAAAAGTATTTTTTGGGTTTACCCAAAACCCAACAATGTGCTGAGAAGCCTAATGATGAGTTTGTACATTCTAATCTTAGAAATAAATCGTTGTTTAATCCACAAGTGTCCAACAATAGCCAGATAGATACTTTTAAAAAATTGGTTACTTTAGATCTAGAAAAATTAACTATCCCTAAAGCTGGTTATAATATAAAGTATGAATATAGGAATCAAAAGTCTCTCTAAAAGGGATAATTTAGTAATTAGACCGGCGGATAAGGGGGGGGGGGTATCGTGGTGATGACTAAGGAGTATTATCGTACAGAGTTAGAAGGGCAACTTAAAGATTCCACCACGTACCAAGTGCTTTCTAAAGACCCTACCTTTATATATATAGAAAGAGCTGGGAAAACTAATTAAGAAAGGTACAGATAAGAAAATACTTGATAAAAAGGAGTCTAAGTTCTTGATCCCTGAATCATGTAGGATTCCGGTTATTTATACCATTCCAAAACTACATAAGGATCCAGTCTGTCCGCCGGGCAGACCAATCGTGAATGGGATTCAATCAATTCTGGCCAGACTTGGCCAATATATCGATATCTTTCTCCAACCTCTTGTAAAAAAATCAAAGTCGTATTTACGAGATACAAAGCACCTTATTCAGGTCCTGCATGAGATCAAAGATAAGGAACATGGTGATATATATCTTGCTAGTGCGATGTCGCATCCCTGTATACGATTATTGGACATGAAGAAGCTATCAAGTCAGTAGAATGGGGATTACGAGAATTTAGTGACATCAAGTGGAAGCAAAGAAAGTATTTAGTAGAATGTTTAGAATTTTGCTTATCGCACAATTATTTTTGGTATGAACATAAGTTTTACAAACAAACGAAAGGGGTTTGCTATGGGGGCGAGGTTTGCCCCCAGTGTGGCCAATTTGTTTATGGCCCGCTGGGAGGAAGAGGTCATTTACCAACAACCCCCCCAAGAGCTCCTGGTATTTAAACGCTATATTGATGACGTGTTCATAATATGGAAGGGGGATGCCAACTCCTTATTGACTTTTTGTAATAAACTTAATAGTAATGATAAAAACATCAAGTTGACATGGGAGTATAGTAATTCCCATATCAATTTTTTGGACCTGAATATAGGTATACAACAAGGTACTTTAGTTACTAAAACTTTCTTTAAAAATGTAGATAGGAATGGATACATTCCGAGTGACAGTTGTCATTACCCTTCCTGGCTATTTAATATCCCGAAGGGTCAGTTTATACGACTCAGGAGAAATTGTACTAAAATAGAGGATTACAATGAGCAAGTAGGGATGATAGGGGAAAGATTTATCTCGAAAGGTTACACAAGAGAACATATTGTTAATAAAATGAATGTAGTTGGAAATATGGAAAGAGAAATATTATTAAAAAGATAAAGAGAAGAAAATGGAAGTGGTTAATAGGGGGGATGGTGTAGATCAAGTCCCAATTATTATGGATTTTAATATACACTATAAAATGATTGAAATTTTTTTTAGAAAGCATTGGCCTATTCTAAAAGTGGACCCTTGCCTCAGTAACATAATTTCAGAGAAACCGCGTTTTTATTTATAGAAAGGCACCTACTTTAAGAACAAGATTGGTAAAAAATGTTGTAGATCCCCCAACAAAAAATAAACGGGTCACCTTTCTGGACCAAAAAGGGTTCTTTCCCTGTAGATCATGTTGTGCATGTAAGGAAACTAAAGGGCATAATAAAAAAAGAAAATTTTTTGAGTCCAAGGTTGATGGAACAAGATATGAGATCCGTGATTTTATCTCATGCAAGACAGAGGGGGTGGTCTATGGGTTGCAATGCCAATGTGGGTTGCAATACATAGGCAGAACTAAAAGACCCATGTGGAAAAGAATTGGAGAACATATTCGGAATATAAAAAAGGGTTATCCAAAACACAGTGTTTCAAAACATTTTTCCATGTGTCATAATAAAGACCCCTCGACATAATATTTTGGGCATCGAAAAATACAAGAGCCATTGGAGGGGGAGTCACAAAGTGCGGTCTCTTAGTAAGGCAGAGTCACGGTGGATATACACAATGCAAACGCAAGTACCCAAAGGTTTGAATATTGAATTCGACCTGAATTGTTTTATAAGTGATTTTTAAGAATTTTTTAAATTTTTATATTTTTTATATATTTTATTATTATTTTTGAATTCTATGGATCTATCTGGCTATATTATATATACTTTTATCAGAGTGTGATTTTCTGCTGTGTTTATCTATTCATGATTGTAAACTTATAACATGGAGTGTCTACATGGAGTCGGGATATAGGGTTTATACATATATTTTATACATATCATATATCCATTTTTTATATATATATATGTATATATATTTTGGTTATTACTGGTTCTTCTATACCCCATCATTTGATTTAATTTAATGGTTTGGGGATGACTGGTGTTTTAATTATAAAATGAAATTACCATTAAGTCTTTTGTCAAGGTTATTTGGAGTTATATTCAGTCCTATTGAGACTGAGTAGTATTGTCTGCACTAGTCGGGACTTCAATAATATGGCCGCTGAGGGTTGTCCTTTAAGTTGATTGACACCCAAGCAGCCAATATAAATGGGATGTGTGAGTATGGGCGGTTACCCTGATGAAGTCACGTGATATTCGTGCCGTAACGTGTTGGTACGTCCATCGTCATTTCCGGAACGCGGTGACGTCATTTCCGGCACCCGCGCCATATTGGGACTCCATGAAGCCACATGTCATGAGGACAAACTGAGGATGTTTTCCGTTACCTGCTAACATGTGAGTGGGTATTTTAATTTTTTTATTTAAATAAAATTGACAACATTGTACTATGGAGCCTGTTTCCTTTGTGTCTCTGAGTGGACCCTAGAGGTGTTGCCAGAGCGGTGGAGTGCAGGAAGAGGTCTGGATAAAGCTACTGTCATTCCGGTCATATTGAGGGGATCTGCAGGAGATTGTCTGAATACTAGTAGAAAAACGCTGGTTGGCCCTTGAGGTCATTGCAAGGAGGTGAGGGGGCACTCAGACCATTTTGGGATTTGTTTGGCACGTATGACACATCCACGTGTATGAAGAGTTTTCTCACCTGTGTGCTTAAAGTGGACTGATTCATCACCCTTTAGTCACCTATTAAGTGCGTGGCACTTTGGCACCTTGACATCAGTGATTGATATATGTTATTCTATGTTATATATATCTACTTAGGGGGTTCATTCACCCATACAGTTTTGACTTATTTATTTGCATGTATTTTCTGAATGCTTTTAGTGCTGGCTGTATATATTAGTAGCGCTGCACCATTTATATTTAATTTTGGATAAAGCTAGCCATAAATGATTTGAAATTTGGCCTGTTCAGCAGGGATCAGCAGAATTTCTTTCCATCTATTGCCGTCCTTTTCGAGACAAACCTATCCAAGGATTGACTTCTTTTGAATGTAACTGTTGGAAAATTTTAGTTCGGTCAGTGCCTGCAGCCAAACAACGGCAGGGATGATTAGTGTAGTCTGCCAGCAGAGGAGTCCCTGCTGTCAGAATACAATAGCACAGTGAGGAGAATTCCTGTATCCACCTCAATTTTGTGGATGAGGGAATCCTTTCATTTTTTTTTTTCTTGTGATCATCCCCCTGACTGAAAAAAAACAATCCATGTATGGCCAGCTTTATGAAGATGTAGGTGAAATTGCCAAAACTGTCTACACAATTATACAGGTGATGGTGTGTATCTGTTTCTGAAAATGTTCCATTATCAATTATCTTAATTAGGCAAAGTCTGCAAAGAGATTGAGCGCATCATTGGTCGAGAGCGAAACCCCAAAATGCAAGACAGAAATCAGATGCCATTTACAGATGCTGTGATCCATGAAATGCAGCGATTCATTGATCTACTTCCATTGGGTGTGGCTCGGAAAACTACAAGGGATATTGAGTTTAGAGGGTACAATTTACCCAAGGTAAATGCTCTTTACTTTTGCACATTTACTTTATCACTCAACTATTTTACATTTAAGCAGCTATAGACCATACTGCTTTATGGTTGTGATTTGTTTATTTTTCTCTGGATATTATCTGATCATGTTTTACAGGCTACAACAAGAGCAATAAAAATACGTTATCATTGCAGGACCATCCTTTGGTCACCTGTCATTCATTCAAACTTCATTTCACTTTATTTGCCATAGTCCTAATACAGATGTTGAGAGCCTTCAGGGAGTTGTAGGCTGGAAGCAGAACTTTCCTTCAGTAAAGCTGAAGTCAAACTACAGAGCCCATAAGCAATCACCAAGGGGAGGAGGATATAAAAGAAAAGTCTGGGAGGACGCAGGGGGAGTTGGAGAGAGACGTTGCAGCCATAAGGAGTGTGTGTAAAATATGTGTGAGCCCCGCCATTCTGGACCTGATTGGGTCGAGCTGATGTGTACACTACAGCTGAGGAATCTGAGAAGAAGCTGAATGCTGAGTGGTGAGGACTGCTCTTGGGAGACCATTCCACTGCAGGAATGCACGAATCGCTACCGCCACAGCTACATCTTCAGTTGAAGGGGCCCCCCACTGCATGATCACTGATGCTACTCTTGATTGCCACAGAGGGATAATGAGTAAGAGGGTCGCTGGCCCATGCTTCACTGCTACAAGTTTGGTTTAGCTCTTGCCCATTTAGGCCTGTCTAGGGTATGAAGATTCCTTTGCATTGACCCTTATCAGAGTTAAAGCAGAATTCCACCCAAAAGTGGAAGCTCTGCTTGTCTGCCTCCTCCCCACCTCCACTGCCACATTTGGCACTTTGTGGGGGGAGCGGATAGCTGGTTTTGACTGGTACCGCTCTTTGCCATGGTGAACTGAGCTGGAAGTTTGGCCCTCCTCCTGCCCCCTGTAGTCTTCTGGGACACTTCACACCAATCAGGATGTGCAGCACGACTTGCGCATGTGCAGTGGGCACCCGGTTATGAAGCTGCAAGCTGTCACAGCCGGCTGCTCACAGTTGAGATGCCGGCGCCAGGGAGAGAAGAGGGAAAGAAGGAACGACGCAGGTGAGCACATCACTGGACCCTGGGACAGGTGAGTGTGTGTGTTTATTAAAAGTCAGCAGCTACAGTTTTTGTAGCTGCTGACGTTTAATAAACACAAAAATGACTGGATCTCCACCTTAAGCATTTAATTGCCTTTTATTGCTGCAAGCTGCCCTTTTTTATTTGCCATTGTGGCCATTGCCTGCAGGTTTCCAAACTGAGCCAAAACGTTGCTCTCTGCTTGGCAGATCTTTTTCTTTAGCTGCATCTATTTTAGCCACTGAAAGAGGGTATTTCTGGTGCCTAAAAACAACTTAATCTCTTAAAGTGAACCATGCTAACATTTTCATCTCTTAAAGTGACCTGTGCCAAAAGCTTTGTCTCTTAAAGGAAACCATCCCATTCGTTATACATCTTAAAAGGGACAGTACTTTGTATTGCGTGCCAACATAAGGGCCCCAACTAAGCCAGTAGAGGCCTTAATTTTCAGACTGTTTTCTCACCTAGGGTCTATTTTTGTAGCAGTACTGGTGTGCAGGTCTAACAGATTTTCCAGCTTAAACCTAGATTCTGCTGACTGAGGGCCTACAAGTGAGCTAGCCAGTTGCTTTCCTTGTTTTTTATATACGTCCCACTTTGGGAGTTATCTATTGTTTTATGCTCTTGGTCCTGCAGGATATAGGTGGTCACGCTTTAAAGGGTACTTGACTGTACTGTATTATTATTGTGTTGACTCACTGGGGTTTATTTACTAAAGCTGGAGAGTCCAAAATCAGACTCCCTTCTGCATAGAAACCAATCAGCTTCCAGGTTTCATTGCCAAAGCTTCATTGAACAAGCTGAGGTTAGAAGCTGATTGGTTTCCATGTAGAAGGGAGTCTGATTTTGGACTCTCCAGCTTTAGTAAATAAACCCCACTGTGTTTAACGACTAACATTTAAACAGTTGCATTATGGTACCATCAGAATTCTACCAGAACAACCTGTTTATTTTTTTACAGCTGATGTGTATCCTTCTTGTGATACACATCAGCTGGGAGAACCCCACAGCCAAGGTATACTGTGATGTCAGCAGGGGTGGGGCTTAACATAGGGCCAGGGAAGAGCAGAGGACCCAAATCTATTAGTGGTTCTTTCAGGGGTAGCAGTACACATCCACTAGTTATCAGTATTCAGGGGACAGATCTGACATGAGCAAGCAAAGCTATCAAGAAGGCCAACCCCATACAGAGACACAGATCAGCTGCAGGAAGACATAGGGAATATAGGGAATACAGTTGACTAGTCCCATTGCTCTTCACAGTACAGGTTCTTTTAATGAAAGAGTGACCAGGTGACATGGGAGCACAGTCGGCACTGGAGCATCTCTTCAAGAGTGGAAGCAGACTCTAGTAACAGTAAATAGTAAGGAAGGCCTCTCTAAGTGCAGTATGCAGCAGTTTATTGAATTTTAAAAGGTTAAAAGCACTTACAAGATAGCATTCAGATAAAAGCTCATCAGGTATAATACCAGGGAGACACACTGAGCCGACCAGCGGTAGTGAGTGTGGTGGAATGCATGGACAAGATGGCCACCATACTTCCAGGAGAGGTGTAGAATGCACACGCCGGACATGACGTCAAGGAGGCGGTAATGCATTTCGGAGCATGTGTAGACACTCCTTCCTCAGTCCGTAAACCCCCATGATAGGAGCCACTACTCATAGTAAGTAAGGGGCATCCACTTACTATTGTTGTATATATAATTCAGTACTTGTCAATAATTATGGAAATAATGGTAAAAAGAACTGTTGAAAATTGAAATCTGATATTAATGGAATGTAATAAAGGATAATAACGCTATCGGACACAAGATTATAATATTGAATTAATCTCTAGTACCTTGTTTAGACCTCCTGGGGCCACTACATCCAGGGCATATATCCAAAATGTCTCTCTCTTACATAGCCGCTGGAATCGCTCACCAATGGGGAGATCTCTGGGCATAGTTTCAATAATCCATAATAATCCATACTCTAAGCCCCACTGTGGCCTTATTATGCCATTCAAGAAAATGTCTAGAGGACACTATGTACATCTTTACCGTCCTCTATGAGACGTAGATGTTGTCCAAAGTACATGCAGAGGGTACATGTGGTCCTGCCAACTTAGTGGAAGCCCCATGGTGTCTTTTATATTACAATTGTGTGACCCTATTGCACTATGAGCTTCTTTCCACCATGGTCTATTTATGATGTTTTGAGGAGTTGTGATGCCTGCCTAAGGGGTTCATCAGATAGTTACCCTGGATTGTCCGCATGCATTTATGAACATTATGGTAGAGGTCTGATATCTCTGGTAAGAGGCTGTGTTTGGTGTTGGAGCATAGGAGTGGTCACGTACGATTTCTAATCAACACTCCTTCACCTGTGGATGGACTTTGTATTGTGAAGTTTTTAAATTTCTAATACTATATTTGTTTGTTATTGTGGGTCATTATTTTATATGAATTCATTTTTATTCACTGATCACCAGTATATATTTACTGAGACATTATATATTGAGTTATGGTATACAGTATATTCGTAGCTTATTGCACTTTTGCTGGTTAATAGTGCAAATTATTGTGCAAACATTTTAAGCAGTGTGAAGAAATGCTGTAAAGTAACAATGTTTTCAAAAATATGTATTTTAATTTGTTTATTTTTAATAATTTACAAAATACAAAGTGAGCAAATAGAAGTAAAATCTAAATCAAGTCAATATTTGGTGTGACTACCCTTTGGCTTCAAACCAGCATCAATTCTTCCACTTGTACACGTTGTACACTTGCGCATTGCACAAAGTCAGAGATTTTATAGGGTTAGAGTCCAGGTATATGGCCTACTAAGGTGGGGTTATGGAAGACAGTCTCATGTCACAGGTCAAACACCCTGGCAAGACTGAACACAGCAACAAGACATACTGCATCTGCAAGGTCTATCTGAGAGAAAGATTACAAAGCAGAATGCTGGTGTGCTGTTCAAGCTCCTTTGAAAAAGCACAAAGAAATGGGCCATTGAGGACTGTAGACGCAGTAGTCAGCCAAAGAAACTTATGCAACAGATGAAAGACACATCATGCATACTTTCCTTCAACATGGGAAGATGTCCAGCAGTGCCATCAGCACAGAATTGGCAGAAACCATTGGGACCCAGATACACTTATCTACTGTTCAGAGACGTCTGGTCAGAAGTGATTTTCATTGAAGAATTACAGCCAAAAAGCCATACCTCCAACGTGGCAACAAGGCTAAGTGACTCAACTATACATGAAAACATAGGAACTTGGGTGCAGAAAAATTGCAGCAGGTGCTCTGGACTGACAAGTAAAAATGTAAAATAGTTGGCTGTAGTAGGAGGCAGTTTGTTTGCTGGTGAGCGGTACAATAATGAGTGTCTGCAGGGAAGAGTGAAGCATGGTAGAGGTTCTTTTCAAGTTTGTGCAAATGGAGTTGGGGATTTTGTCAGGATCAGTGGTGTCCTCAATGCTGAGAAATACAGGCAGATACTTATCCATCATGCCATACCATCAGGGAAACATGTGACTGGCCCCAAATTTATTCTGCAGAAAGACAACAACCCAAACATACAGCCAATGTCAATAAGAACTATCTTCAGTGTAAAGAAGATAGTTCTTATTGACACAGATGATCACATGACAAGGTAAAAGGCCAATCACAGTGGCCTTTTACCACGTGATTAGCTGCATCCAATGACACAGGGCCTGTTATGGTTGGGGAAGGGGGCACATTGTTTTTTTCATCATTGTTTTTTTTACATTCAGCTGTTAGTGGGACACCCGCTGACAGCTGATGAGTTGTTTGGGACCAGGTACCATGCGTTAAATTACTGCATGAAAATATGCGGTAATTACTGCAATACAGATATTTTACCGCAAGAGTTATTTACCGCAAAATTCTTAGGGAATCGCGCATTTGCCAAAAATTTCTCATATGCATTATTTTACTGCATTTTTTCAGTCGTTATTTAACTGTTAGTGAATTGGCCCAATAACTTTAATATAAGCAAGTTAAAACTTGTAATCTGTTATACAGTAGCTCAGCTTCTGTATTTGCATTTACAGGGCACTAACATTTATCCGATGATTGGCACGGTGTTGAAAGACCCCGCCTGTTTTCCGTACCCTAATGAATTCAACCCCAAGAATTTTCTTGATGAAAATGGGGAATTTAGAAAGAATGATGGCTTCATGCCTCTTGCAGCAGGTAAGCTAATATATATGATTTTTCTACTTCCGTTCCATCCAACAATTTGGACAATATTGGATTTGGAAAATATTGGTGAAAATTATGTCTGCTGCTGATCTAATGCTGGACATATACACTAAACATTTCTTAATAGATTTATTTCAAATGTATCAGAAGATATTCTGTATGAAAACAGACAAATGTACATTTTCACACTTGAATGGGGTATCAACTGTCTTTACTCTGTCACAGGAAAGAGGAACTGTATGGGAGAAGCTTTGGCTCGAATGGAGATTTTCCTTCTAATAGTTACAATTCTGCAGAACTTTGTCTTAAAGCCTGAACTTCCCATGGAGGATCTGGATCTCAGGCCAGATGTATCTGGATTTGGTAATCTTCCAAAGCCGTACAAGATGGCCTTCATACCTCGCTAGTGATTAACTTTCTCTACCGTGTTCTGAAGAAGTCCATCCATCTGATGCAAAAAACATCTAAAGCAGATGAAATGAAAGAAATTTACTTTATCCTCAGTACTCATACGGTGCTTCTAAAAATGAGCAGGTTTTATTTCTTTTGTACATGTAATGGTGGTGTTGTGTATTTGGAGGCAAGTGGTGAGGGGGTACGTGCATTCTTTAACCCACTCAGGCCCAGACACAGGATGGTCACCTAGACCAGTGTTTCTCAACCTTTTTCCAGTTGGGGCGCCCTTGAAAAGTATTTTTAGTCATGAGGCACCCCTGTTCAAGGCTTGGTTCACATGAAATGCATGTGAAATCGCATTCATTCCTGACACACAGACAAATGCTCTGCTCTGCTCTTTAGGAGTACCCCCATACATTGGCAAACTGGGGGGTGTTTTTGGTGTGGTACCATTTGAAAAAAAAGGGTCAGGGACAGCTTTCCCTGCATCTCTGCTGGTAAGGCAACCCAGTGAAATGAATGGGATGCCGTACACACAGCCATACAGATGTGAACCAAGGGCTTGTTCACCTGTGAGGTTGGAGAGTGGTAAAACCACACAATTGAGCTGCTTTTTACCACCCCAACTGCTCTCCCTTTAGCTGCAGAAGCAGCAGCTGTGGGTATACACATGTTGTGGCCACAGCTGGAAGTATACCACCAGTTGAATGGGGTTGAACTACAACTGTGTGCGCATTGCTCGATGCTTCTGCTCCTACCTGGCACTGTCAGTATTGCTGGCATGTTGATGCATTTCCCTGTACAGAGAAGCAACGGGTGTTAGCACGCAGGTGTCACTGGAGATGATTTGTTTTAGTTCTCTAATATTTCCCAGTGCATTCTGGAATACGGGAACCTCCACTGCCTCTTTCCCAACACCCAGCTAACACTTTGTAAATGCTTCGCTAACATGCCATAAATGCTTTAGTGATTAAGGAACAGCTATGGTGTATTACCATTGAAATGAATGGAGGTTGCTGACAAGGGTTGATGCCTATTGAAAGCAGCATGCTGCTTATTTTTTAACACAATACAACGCTCCTGCACCTGTGTGTACTGCACTTTGTGGTGCCTATTGTAACATGAATCAATTAAAGTTTTTTTCAAAAAGTACTTTTTTTAAAACGGAAGTCATTTTTCATTGCTTAAAAAAATATGAAAAAATCCTTTATATATCATGCCTGGGGGTTCCCCTTAAACTACCTGCAAAGTTGCACATCTGTACAATGTATAGAACCTGCTGCAGCAGGACTGACATTTTTTTTTTAAAATTACATTTTTATTTGAAAAAAAAAGTGTGGGATCCCCCTCTAATCCATACCAGACCTTTTAGATCTGGTAGGAAGGTTAGGAGGCACCCCACAGTAAAATGAAAAAAAAAAAGTGTGTGGGGTTTCCCTAAAAGCCATATCAGCCCCTTTGGGCCTGGTAGGACTTTTAAGGGGAACCCCATGCCCCAAAAATGGAGGGGGGAAAGCATGGGGTCCCCTCTTAATTTCTATCAGACCCTTGATCAGAGTACAAGCTTGGCAGGCCAGGAAAAGGGACAAGGGCTGTGGTTGTGGGGGTCTGTGGGAGGTGACTTATCAGAATCTGGAAGCCCCCTTTACAAAGTATATCTTCTATAGGGCGGCGGGGAAGCGGTTAAGGAAAGTAAGTACAACTGAACTTGCAAAATGCACAGTCTATTTCCCTTTAGTTAATCCACCCCACTGACACTAAGGGCTCATTCTGAGGTGCTGCAGCCCTTACCATCCCTCTAAAAAGTCATCAGCAGTGGATCGCTTTTAAGAGGGTATTTGACAGGAGGTAGGGAGGTGAGGAGGAGATAAGGGTGGATAAACCTAAATGAAAGAGCGATCAAGTTCAAGACCATTTACAGCCATAAGAAAGTGTTCCTAATGTGGATTTTTATGATCTAGAGCCTTGAGGTCTCTAATTTTTTGCAAAATATAGATGTATTAAGTATATAGAAAACACTGTGTAAAAATCTGTTACTTAAATTGCAGTGATAAGCCAAATGTACTTGTGTTTGATTTGGGAAGAAGTGGCCAAACATTACTGAAGTTTGGGTGCAAATCCAAATTTCAATGAAGTCAATGGGAGACAAATGTTAAAAAAGCACTAATGGCCATTTTTTAGGCTAATGCTCAAAGGATGTTCAAACAAATGTCATGGAAAGTGGGGCACTGCACTCGGAAACATGTACCAAAGCAAAAAAAATGTTTTTTAATTTCCATTTTGGTGGGGAGCAGCAGAGGCGTCACTAGGGTTGGTGTCACCCTGTGCGGTAACATGTGGTGTCACCCCGGTCTCGGGCTCTGTGTTGGGAGACGGAAGGATGTCCTGTGCAGGGACCAGCCAGTGAAGTGTGATGCAGAGGGGCGGGCTCTGGGCGGGGTCATTACCATTCATGGACTGACATGAGTAGGAGCCATCCAATCAGAGGGGGGGGGCAGGCTCCGCTCTGGTGTACGGGGGGCAGGCTGAGTGTGAATTGGCCTACAGCAGCTGTTGTGATCCCGGGGATTGGACACCCCCCCACTGGGACTGACATCTCACCCCCGCATGGCACAACTGTTCCTGGGGCTGCAGGAGGGATGAGGAGCCCCGATACCTGGGGAAAGGACGAGGGACACTCCGCTCAGATGGATGACAGCCACTGACACCTCTTCTTTTCATTTTAGTATCACCCCATGATGGTGTCACCCGATGCAGCTCGCACCCCCGTAGTGATGCCACTGGGGAGCAGTGATTTTAACAATGCCTAATAAGCAACATTAAAGATGAAAAATTTCTTTAAATATCATGCTTGGGGATGCCCTGAACCTACCTGTGAAATAATTTATTTGTACAACCTACCAAAGAAAAACTGATATTTTCAAAGAAAAAAAAAGTGCTATTTAAATTGGCAGTAAATGATAGCTTTGGCCACTTACTTCCAATTGTAAATAAAGCATCTAGGGATTCCCTTCATCAATACCAGACTCTTATTCTAGATGTCTTTTGTAGATGCTAATGGGCCAACCCTCACTATAAAAAACTGAGTATGGTTCCCCCTAGAAATACATATCAGACTCTTATCCTTGATAAGGGTCTGGTAAAGATGTAAAAAAAAAAACGGCATGGGGCTACCCCCAATATTCATGATAGACCCTTCAGGTTTTTTATGGATTTTAAGGGGGAACTCAAAAATATAAAGAAGAAAACAATATGATTCAGACCTAGATCCAAGCATGCAGAATGGCTGGTTCAGAAATGGAGGAACAAGGGTGGAATCCTCTTCCTCTGTAACCATACCAGGCCACATGACTTCAACATGGAGAAGGCGCCTTGCCAAGAAGAACACCCCCATCCCCCCGGCAAAGAATTTTTTTGTCTCTATGTTGTTGAGGACAACCAAAACCCTGGCCCAGTGGTTGTACTGTAGAAAAAAAATCAGGAGCCCCCAGGTATCACCCCTCATGTGAATGAATAAGGGGTACCCCTATTTATTCACAAAAAAAATGTTAGTAGTAAATAAACACACACTTTAAAAAAAAAAGTCCTCTTTTAAAAAAGAAAAAAAAAAGAAAAACTTCCCACAATGTAAATACATCGTCAAGCGGTACAGATCCTCATCATTTCTAATAAACAACACCTGCCAACTTGGTGAAACAAACCACCAACACATCTGATCTCATTGGTAGCTCACTATGAACGACAGCTCCTGGTCCCCGCTGCTGAAGGTAAACAAAGGGCTGTGATCTCCTGGGTGTCATCATTGACAAAACATGATTGGTCAATGGTCAGGAGTGAGCAACTGGAGATCAGCACCAGCACATTCAGCCTGGCCAAACACCAATTAAGGTGTCCGTTCATGAACCAGCGGTAATAGATCGCTGCTCATTTCTCCGGCATTCTCGGAGAACACAGTTCTCCTGTGAATGCAGTTTATGAAGCATTTCTCCGAACGAAGGGAGAACGGTCTCCAAACGCTGGAGAACGGTCTACAAACTCTGGAAAAGGCTCATTTTACTATAATCTCGCGAGATTACAGTAAAAGATCAGTTTACTAAACAGAGGTAAATTATCTCTGCTTAGTTTTCGGTCCCTCCGATTCTCCAGCTCTGGGCTGGAGAATCTGGAGGGAGAACACAGATCTCCAGAGAAGGGCTGACATCTCCTGAGTGTCATAAACTGTGAATGACCAGAGAATAGCTGAGATCTGTTGAATCGCAGCTATTCTCTGTGTCATAAACGGACACCTTAGTTCATCCATTTGCCAAACCTCCAAACAAGGAAAATTCAGTACAATAGCTACCTGCTTCCCATTCAGATCTGCATCTGTAGCATCCAAAGAAAGTCTTTCAGCACCAACTTTCTTTGAGGCTCTGAGATGTCATGTGACCATGACAGGTTTGGATGGGCTGAATGTACCTACAGTAGGTTCGATCATAGGACATTCAAAGAACATATCACAAGTTTGGATGCCAAATCCAAACCCTATTGACGTCAGTGAGAGACAAATCTGTAAAACAGACATGAAAATAGCAAAAAAGTCACTGGGGGCTGTATTGGGGGACATGTACCATTGCAAAAATTCTTTTCAATAAATACAGGTTTGAAGACAAGCAGTGATTTTAATAATCGCTTAAAGTGAAACACCATTCCTTTAAAAAACCTGCTTGAGGGATTCTCAAGCACACAAAACAGAGCACCAATGATCAAAGTCTATTATTCTTTATTATTGGTGACAACAGAAAGAACAGAGGTATCAAAATGTAAATACATTGTCAATCAGGTGGTCCAGCGATTTTTTTGAGGGGCAAGTAATTCCCATGTTAGGCTACTTTAACACTGACGCATATGCACTTTTGCTGCGTATTTACCTTGCTTGAGGTGCATTTTTTAGAGGACATGTAACTCAAAGACTGCTCGAAAAACGCAACACGGGTGTGTTTATGATGCATTCTCTATGTGTTTTTGCAGC